GCATGGCCCGCAACTCTAGGACACCAAATCTTCCTGAAGACAAATTCCAAGTTAGAACGTTCCACCCTACAAACAAAAAGCTCAGAAACAAGCGTAATATTTTAAAGAGTCTCCCTAGCAAAGCCAAGCAAATGCAACTATGAGATGAATGAGGAGTGGGCCTCATTCATCATAAGCAAGAACTAGAGGCCACTCTGCTCCTCTTCAAAGGCAGAGCCTCCCAGGACTCCTTCCTCTTCCCTTTCTGCACCTCACTACAGGAGAAAGTGCTTTAAAAAAAAAAAAAAAAAAAACAACGACAAAAATCTCAAAAAAAAAAAGTTACAAGGAACTACGTCTCAAAAGCTTTGGGGGATAAAAAGTACAACTTTGTCTAGAATTTGAGGGAAAAACAAAGAACAGAGAAGACATGGAATGGCTAAGGCCCGACTTCAGCATCAACTGCCTTACTAACACCCCCGCACCCCCAGCCTTACCTAGAGCTACCCGCAGTCTCCACCGAGGCTGTGAGGCCTGGTGGGGGACAGAGCCCACCAGCCAGAGAAGGGTCTGGAGGTTCCTATTTTCCCTCACATGGAACTCGGAATTCTGCTTCCCTGGATCGTCTTTTCTTTCCCATCTGCCGGATTCCCGGCAGAAATAAAGAGCAAGAAAGAAAAACAAGGCACAGTAAACCTTTCCTCTCTGCACCTCCACCTAGCCTAAAGGGCCCTGCCTAGAGGTGTCTCGTGTTGGGGTGCTGAGGCCCTTCCCGCGGGGCCGTGGTGGCCGCCTAGGGTCTGTCCGCGGACCAGGCTCATCAGCCACCCGGGGCTAGTCTCATGCAGCCCCGGGAGCCAGAGTCCGGCCTGCGCACGGGGACACGACGGTGCCCGCACCAACTCTGGTGGTGGCTTGGAGAGGCCCGCGAGCGCCTCCACCAGGCAGCCCCCGGGCTCGCAGCTCAGGACGGCGGGCCGGGTCCGCGCGGGCATGGGCCGGCCCGGGCGGCAGCGGTCTGCGGCCTGGGGCCTGGGGCCCGCATCCCGCGCGGAGCAGAGCCTCAAGTCTGAGGCTGCGGCCGGGTCGACCTGGGGTCCGCAGCGCGGCAGGGCGGGGTCCGGGGTCCGAACTGAGTCCTGGAGTCTGAGTCGGAGGCCGCGGCCGGGGCTGCGGAGGGCAGAGATACGAGTCCAAGCCGGGGTCCCGGGTCCGAGTCCGAGTCCTGAGCCGACCTGGGGTCCGGGGTCAGGGTCTCAGTCCGCGTCCGGGTCTGGGTCCGAGTTCCAGGCCAAGCCAGGGTCCGGGGTCTGAGTCCGCGCGCCGGGGACCCGGGGTCTGGGGTCCCCCTCCGGGTCCGGGTCTGGGTCTGGGTCCAGGTCCCAGCCAGGGGCCGTGGTCTGGGGTCCACCCCCGCCTCCGGGTCCGAGCCAGGGGCCCGGGGTCCGCGGCGGCGGCGGCGGCGGCGGCGGCGGCGGCACGCGCCCCAATTAGCCGCGGCGGGCGGTGGGGCGGCCCCACTGAGGGCGAACAAAGGGCGCGACCCCGGGGTCAGGGAGTCGCGGGCCGGGCGGCCGCCGCTTTGTTCGCCCGCCCTGTTTACTTTGCCGAAGTAAAGCGCACAATATATTGACTAAAGCGGATTAGAGGGTCGCGCCCCAGAGGCCGGCGGGACCTCCCAGCCGGGCGCCTCCCGGGCCGGCCGGGCCTACCGCGGGCAGACCCCTTCCCGCCGGCGTCCCCACCCGCAGAGGCAGCCGGGGAAACTGAGGCTGCGCCCGCCAGGCCCTGACGGGGGGCGGGGGCCAGGAAAGCGGGCGGAGGGCGGGCCCGGGGCCTGGAGGGGGACTCCGGGGAAGGCTGGCGGGTCCTCGGGTCTTCGCGGTCCCTGCAGGTCTAGGTTCACCTGCGCCACGTGGCAGCGGGAGCAGAGTAGCAGAGTCCCTCTGAGCGCGCCCCACGGGACCTTTTAAGCCGACGGGGGGGGGGGGGCGGGGTGGGCATTGCGTTACTTTCCAGACCCCTGCGTTTTAAAGATTCTACCCTTCCCAGCACTGCTGGTCCTGAGAATTCATTTTACGGGGGGAAATGACACTTGCTTGAAGGCTAAGGTATTTTAAATGGAAACGTGGACTGATTTTTCCACATCACAAAATCCTGTAGCATTGTGGTTAAAAAAGAAAATCCTCCCCTGGTGTCTTGACACAAGAGATGCTCCCCTGTCTCTCCAGCTGCCAATCAGCAGGTGTCTTAAGATTGCAGAATAATATTTTGAGATATGGAAGTCCTGCAAAGTACAGCCGGGGAAAGAAAAGTGTTTTCTTTCTTTTTTCAAAGGCAAACAATGAGTATAAATAAACCAAGATTTCCACGCAAAGACCGCAGTTTATCATCTGGCGTTATGAATCCAAAATCTATATGCTTCTCCAGATAGGAACTTGAAGAAACTTTTAAATTGCCAAGCAGTAGAAGCAGAAAGCACAACCCCCCAATCAAGCACAGGGTCTAAGCATAGGTGGTTAGACCAAGTGTCGGACCAAGTATCTAAGAAGAACAAGAATGCCTTTTTTCCCTTCCTGATGCTTTTGCTACGGGGGCAAAAATATTTCTCCGTAAGTTCACACAAAATCTGAATTGAGATTTTTATGCCCTGGTTGTGCAAGTATACATGTTTGGTTAGCAAACGCATGTAGTGTTTGATTAATAAGCTATCACGGTATAAATCTTTTATAAGAAACGAATAGTATTTACTTACTATACGTATTTGTTGGTCTAACGAATATTTCTGCTACATGCCATCTATTCACAACTACTGAAGGAAAATATGCCATTTGTCTATATTTCTACTCACAAGCCTTTAAAAATTATTTATTTTCTGCTTATAAAAATACTGTGTGTTTAGAGAAGGGACAGCAAGGTCTAAAGCCTGAGTAATTTAAAGGTAGATATTTAAGATAGAGATCATTTAAGTAGTAAGCATAAAATATAAATAATTCAAGTATAAAATACATGGAAAAAGGAAAAAGGAAAATTAACTGATATGCCATTATTCAGAAAGAATATTCTATTGTACTTTCTTCCCAACAGTAAACATGTACATACAATTACATCATTTACATACATATTTACTGTTTGCAAAATGTTGTATCCATTCGTCCCCATGCCTTACAAGCTCTTTGTCAACAGCATTTTAACAGGGACACACTATTGCATTATTTTGTTACGTGATAATTTACGCCACCGTTCCCTATTATTCCAAATTTCATTTCTTGCTAATATTTCTCTGTTGTAACTAACACGACCACCAGTGGCCATGCCCGCGAAGTCTGTCTGCAAGGTCGGTTATGAATAAATCTCTAATGCTCTGCTGTTAGGGTGTTGAAGGGTGCCTTCTTCTAAGGGGGGTTAAGGCCAACCCCGTAGACTCCATTTATCCTATCAGAAATGAACTTGGAAATCCTAGAATTCCCTCCGGATCACAGTTACCCCAGAAAGCAATATGGGAATCAGTTTGTTCCCTCTCCGGAGGCCTGACGGATTTGCGGGACCAGCCGAGGCACATAACTGATTGCGACACGGCGTTTGGCAATGGTGCCCTTGCACTAAAGTGCTGGCCTATTTCTGCCTACCCAGCTACTTGGCACGAACCCCCCACCGCGTGGTGGGTTTAAGTCAGGACCATAAAGCTGAACACCTTGGAAACATTATCTCAATAGTTTTGACGAAACTTTGCGCGTCTAAGGAGTGATTTGGCTCCAGCGGCTTTCTTTGCCGAGAATCCAGAACTCAGGCCTGCTCTTTCACCCGTTCTCCCTGGTTGCTGCTTTCCTTCCGCCCCCCTGCCCTGTCCTGCACGGGGAACGGCCTAGCCCAGCTCTCCCCCATCTCTGCGGCCTGGGCCTTGCAAGAGGCCGCGTCTTAGGCCACTCGCCCCTTTCCGCCGACACCCTGAGTCAGCCGCGGCTCTGCCATGGGGGCCGTATTGGCCGTCTGTCTGGCCTGCCCTGACTTGGCTCCCAGAACAGTGGGGGAGGCACGCTGGGGGCCATGGAGCCTGAGGTCTTCTCCCTGAACACCGGGGTCTGCACGGGGGCCTGCCTGAAGGAGGCAGCCCGTAGGCCAGGGAAGAGTTGCCCCTGAAGAACAGCAGCATAAAGAGGACTCGAGGCCACAGCAGAGAAGTCACCAAGTTATTCCGAAAATAGGTGCCTACAAGAATTGACACAGCAGCAGCGAAGAAAGCCTGGAAGGAAATCCTGGAAATGTGACCGAGCTTCAGTGGGGACAAGGATGAACAATTTTTCCCTTACGTGCCTTTTTCTGTATTTTCCAAGTTTTCTGTGATGAGTGTATGTTGCTTGCATACGCAGAAAAGGATCGTATTACTGATAACACTGTATTTGTTATAAGTCAAGTAGATCTAATTCGTTACCAGAATGAAACGAATTACTCTTAAATAGGTATGAGTTTAACATAAACAGTAATAATCCTTCATTGCCAGAGAAGTTACTAAGATGATAACAGCCATTCACGGGGCTCCAGCACTTTACCCTTTAGAAAAACACTTTGAAACAGAAAATGAAACTGGGCAGGTTTGCCGTGCAAATATTCGCTGCTGTTTTAATAGTTCTGCAACAGCCCTTGACCGTGGGCTCGGACGGACACTATTCTTCTCCTTTTAAGTCTGGGAAACAGGCTTGAAGAAGTGATGAGCCCCAGGACGGGAACAGAGGCTTGGAGTCTCCCATGTGTCCACAGCACTTGCCACACCTCGTTCCGGTACCTTTCTGCGCGGGAGACATTCTCCCCGGGGATCAGCTGTGTTTCCCGTTATTCCAAAAAAATTTTTTTTCCGTTACTGGAGGTGGTGCCAGTGGCCAGAGCGGAACTGCAATTAGTGAAGATTTTCTTGGGTTTGTGTTAAAATACTGGTATTTGCACAGAGTCTGTTTATCACTTGAGAGAGATGGGCTGCACTGGGATGTGGCCGGCTGAGGTGCACGGGTGCCTCAGCCGGGCAAGGACTGTCTTTGTCAAAGGGAGATGTTAGAGCCGAATGCCACACTCCCCCTGGGAAGGGAAAACACATGCGTAGGACGATGACTCACGTACATGTCTGTGGAACCTCTGGGGCTGGAGTCCACCCCAGAAGAGCTCATGATGCCCTGTGTGGGAACACGCCTTTTCCTATCTTATTTTTTAAAAGGGGGCCATTTCCAGCCCCTTGATAACAACAGATGGGAACAAATCTACGAATCCAATGTATTTGATCTTAAGTCTCTTTCTTTCACAGCGAGTTAAAAGGCGAACCAACATGCTGTCTTCTACTCTAAAAGGCAATTGCTAAATTTGGATTTTGGGGGAAAAAAAATTTTGTACTCCAGCTTGAAAATCCAATGGCTCTCGGAAAGCAAGTAAGATATACCACTCTTTGTGCTAAAATCATCTTAACTGGTTTAAAATAAATCAGAACAAAATGATGTGAGCTGAACATATGTCTTCCATCACTTGTTTTCAGAAGGCAGCGGTGGGATGAGCCACAGCGCGTGGACCCGTGTGCCATCCGGAGAGTGGACTGGACCCGGATTGGGCATTGGGTGATTTTTAACACAGAGGTGTCAACAGACCTAGGCTTTTTACATTCCCAAGACACCTCCAGCTTCAGACAAGGATTAAATTATTTAAAACAAATAATTATAAAACATAATCAACAGGTAAGAGGAATAAATCGGAGACCTTTATTTCCTCCAAGGAAAACGTCTGGCACTTGGAATTTTTAAGCTGTAAGTAGATGGGCACATTTTCAAAAGACCCTTTCTTTCACTTCTCCTCACACAGGGCACAGCAAACCATCCCTGCCTTCTAAAATAAAAACACATGCCGCTTTAATTTAGCAAAGAAAATCCAACAGGCAGAATCTCTGCACAGATAATTTTTAATTAAAAAGAGAGAGACTGTTTGCCGTGCTCTCTACCTTTTGGAGGGCAGTTACCTTCTCCACGTGTTAATAATTTAACTGTCAAATCACAACAAACAGCTAATTCCATCTTGGAGCCGTGAAGATTGCAACCTAGGAGTGAGATTTCGGTTATAACCACCAAGGCACAAAGGCTGACAGAAGTCCTGCTTCCCGAGGGTCCCCCAGACAGGGCTGGGACATGACTAATTTATTTTATCTTATCCATCATCTATGCGCAGGATTAAAATATTTATATCAGTCTGTTCACTTTAAGATGTACGGTGCAGGCGCCCGCTTCCGGGCCACTCCTTAATTTTTCACAGTTTTGGCTTTTCATTGTTTCCAGCGATGCACAGCCCTTGCATGGGAAATACTCTCAAATGCTGACTGTATCTTTAGGTGGGGAGCCGGCACACACATACGGCTATCCAGCTTGGACGACAACCTCTCCTGAAATGCTGCGGAACCACAGTGACGGAGCTGTTCCGACACCCCTCTCCCAAGAGATGCCAATGAAATCATGCAGGCCCAAGCTCTGCTTCTAGAAGGAGCTTGCCTCTGGCCAGGCTGGCTGATGGAAACCAGAGCTTAGTCAGGATGCCCCAGCTGGGCAGCCAGGTAGGCAACGGGTAGCAGGGGGTTAATCGGGGAGTCGGGAGGGGTGCAAACAAAAGGCCACGGGCAGAGCTGGGAAACCAGCAGGGGAAACCGGGCTGCAGGGCCCAGCCGGGCCAGGCGCAGACACAGGGAGCTCTGTGTGCCTGCCCGCTGCCCGGCACTGTGACTAACCGCCCCACTATTGTACCCTGAAGCCAGCCCTTTGTACCGTCCCCCTGGCGTCTGGGAGCACGGCCGAAGAAACCCTTTCCAGCAGTCCCCCCTCATTCTGGAAGCTTGCAGCCCCAACACCCATTCTTTCAGCTCGAGGGGATGCTGGGGGCCTGACTCACCACTGCAAGCGTCCTTGACCCTGGCCAAGAAGGGCCACCCGCAAAAAAAAAGAAGCAGAAAAACCAGTCTCCCCAACTCTGGGGTGAGGGGGCATGGGGACCTGCTAAACCTGCGTTGGCCAATATAGCACATCGTAAGGCCACGTGTAGCTACTAAGCCTTTGAAACTCAGGGAGTCCGTCCAAACTGAGATGAATGTGAAAAATACACTCTGGATTTCAAAGACATATCAGTATATATATATAAAAAAAAGAAAAAACCTCATTAATAATTTCATATTAATTCAACACTGAAATATACTACTTCGGATATATATTCGATAAAATACATTTTCTTTTTTTAGAGTGAATTTCACCTGCTTGTTTCCACTTTTTAAAAAATGTGGCTGCTCAAACATGTCAAATTACAGATGTAGCTCCGTTTGCAGCTCACGTTACGTGTCTACTGCGCAGGGCTGGGCTAGGCTGGGAATGGGCCTCGTAGAAGCCTGCTCCCTCCCAGGAAAACAATGGCTGGGAGATACCACCGTGGCTCCTGGCCCAGTGACCACCCCTAACCCAAGCGTTGGACGTACCAGGCTCTCATGACCACACCTGACCTCAGTCTTGTGTTCACCTGTCTCCAGAAGTGAGTCTCACACACTCATGTGCCTGAGAATCCTTTATAGAACACACATGTGTGCAGAGGAACACACACACGCGCGCACACACACACGCACACACGAAGGGCCTGGATCCTCTTCACAGCTGGCTGCGTCAACCCGGTGCCTGATTCACAAGGCACCCCAATGGCCCCCAAAGGCCTCCCTGGACCCAGACATTTGACCCTTTGTCCCGGGACAGACGGGACCAACCTAGGGCCCCATTATGACTTTCATGGCCCCTTCCTCCGTACTTAATAAACATGATATTTTATGACTGCTTTGGTATAAAGATGAATATAATCCAGACTGAATTCATCATTATATATTCATTATTATTAGAGTCATTGTTGTCTTCTGATTTTAAAAGACGTTACAATTAAAACATATTCATGGGTCCTAGGCAGGCACTGTGCCTCCTGGGACCACCAGCCCACCACGCTCCTGTGACTGTTCCCCACATAGCGTCCTCACCCTGAGGTGCATGGGCCTCTCCTTCGGCACTGGGAGCTAGCCTGCTGTTCCTCCAAGGACCAGACCACCTCCCTCACTCTAGAATTCGTTCCTTAAGTCCCGCCCTCAACTGACGGTGGGTGAAGCCCCCACCAGACACCAGAAAACTTTCCGTATTATTTTTTAAACACAAAAATTGGTCATGAGGAAGGTCCAGGATCCCAGAATGGCAGAAGGCCCCAAGTCAGGGAGGACCAAGGCATGATGCCCCAGCGATGTGCGCGGGCACCCTGCTCAACACCAAGAGACAAAGCCACCAAGCACAGATGACGTTGGCACCCCAGGCCGCCGTGCCTGCCCACGCGGCTCACCACGTGCCCCATGACCTCCAGTCCTCACGCCCGCACACCGGGCCCAGCTTCTGGCCGGGGATGCCCAGGGGGCCTGGCTTTCCTGCACCTCCCAGAAAAAGGCATCTGGCGCCCTCACATTCCACCCTCCCTCAATGCCCGGGTGCCAGGCCTGGACCTGGACGCTGCTGAGGAAGGCCTGGGTGCAGGAGATGGTTAAAAGTCTGCATCCTTTTTGCATCCGCCTCCAGAGGAAGCGCTGCTTTTTTTTTCCCCTCCCAAGCAGGAGGAGGAAAAAAAAAAAAAAAAAGCTGAGAGCAGCAATTTGCAGGCCTTGGGATGTTTTTCTCCTTGACAGCCCCGGGCCCCGCCTCGCTCCCGCGGCCTTCCTCCAGCCACGGCCACGGCCTGCCCGGGCCCCATGCACGCGCGGCCTCCCCGCGGAGCCCGGCCCCGGAGGGAGGGAGGGAGGCCGGGGCGGCGGCGGTGGTGGCGGCGGCGGCGCCTGGCACTGCCCGGCTTTGTGCCCCCGCCTCCCCGCCACCCCCACCCCCTGCCGCTCTCCACCCCACCCCACCCCACTCCACCCCCTCCTCCGGCCCACTCGGACCCGCCGCCCCGCCTGCCGCCGCCCAGTGCCCACCCTGCGCCCACCCGGGGTGCCCTCACCTTCCGGGCCTCGGTCCGGCTCGCGCCCGGGGCGCCCGGCCACGTCCTCGGCGCCGCCTCCGCTCGCCCCACCCCGCTGCCCGCGCTCGGCGGCGAGCCTGGCACGGTGCCAGCTGCCTGGGAGCCCGGCCCGGGCAGGGGAACTTTCCGGCGAGGGTGTGTGCGGGGAGGGGTGCGGGCTCTGGCGGTGCCCGGGGAGGGAGAGGCCCAGATGCCCGGCGGCCGCACCCCCCGCCCCCGGCCCCTCTCCTGAGTCCCATAAAGGCACAGACAACACGGGCGGTTTAGTCAAAACAGTCATGTGCAGGAGCCGGCGAACAAACAAAAGCCCTTATTTATTTATTTAGTTCACACACTCAGATAAGGAGACGCCTTTTGTGCACATAATTTCACACACACCAGAAAGGAGGCGATGCCGCGATGCTCCCCACGGCCCGGGGCCGGACAGCCGGCCTGGCCTCAGGAATAATTGCATCGCTGGGGCCTGGGCATTTCCATATTTAAATTGGGCAGCAGCGTATGATTAATTAAGAAGGAAAAAGGCAAAAAGGAAGAAAAGCCGTGGGGGTGGGGAGCCGGACATTCTGGGCAGCTCTGTGTGCCAAGGTGCCCGCGGCAGCTTAACTCCTGCCATGCCAGGCCCAGGCCCGGGCGGGATGGGCTGCAGCAGACGGCCTGGAGGGAACGCCACCCGTGCCCTCTGCACAGTCCCAGCCTTGGGGTGCGCACCCTGCCTGCCTTTGTGTATCGAGTGCCACCCCAGCTTCAGACACTGCCCCAGGAACGTTCTCTTCCTCATGGCCTTCCTCAGAGCAAGTTTGCGTTGCTTGGGTCAACGCCTTGTGCTGGTGCGAGGGAAAGCGACGTCCCCAAGGCCCTCGGTGGGACCAGGAAGAGCTGCAGCCCTTCCGGCCGGGACAGACAGACCTGTCCTTGGCCATCCACACCTTGACCCTACCAACACACAAGCTGCAATGAGGCCCTGCCGCCCGGGAGGTTCCTAGATCCCTCCACACTCACACAACCCCCCTGCCAAGGGCTGCCCTGGGGCCTTTCTGTCCCCAAGAGCAGCCTGCCTGTTCTGGGAAAGGGACAAGAAGGCCGGCCACCCTTCTGGAAAGAATCAAGGGCTGTGGTTAAGTGAGAACCCTCTGGAAGTCTGTATTCCTAGAGGCAGGGGGCAGCCGCCGTGGAGCCCTGGATTCAGGGTCTGGCCATTACCCAGGGTCAGCCCTGCCCCTTGCCAGCTGTATGGCCTTAAGCAAGTTGTACAGCCTCTCTGGGTCTCAGTTTGCCCACCTGTAAAATAGGGATAATAGTGCCCACTCTGCCTGCTCTATGGGGTTGGGTGAGGAAAAGCAGCTCCAGGTTGAGCAGAGAACCTGCCTGAGCTCCCAGAACCTCTGTCCTTACGGTAGGCAAAGGGTGGGGCCAGTAGGGCCTCCGACAGGAATTTGCTCAGCCCAGCAACAAACCCAGAACTGTCTAAATCCACACTGCAGGTGGATGAAGTTAAGGGCCTAGAGCTGGGACAGCATCCTGGATTATCCACTTAGGTCCAATCTAATGATGTAAGCCTTTAAAAATGGAGACCCTGGCCCAGCTGTGGTCAGAGAAAGAGAGATGTAATGTCTCTCTTTGAAGACGGAGGAAGGGGCCACAAGCCAAGGAATGTGCCTCTAAGAAGCTGGAAAGGCCAAGAAAAGGATTCTCCCCAGGAGTCTCCAGGAGGAACCAGTCCTGCCAACACCTTGACTTTAGCCCCGTGAGTCATTTCAGACTCCCAGCCTCCACCACTGCAGGATCCTGAACTTGCACCATGTGAGCCACTAAATCAGGGAACTTTCTTATGGCAGCAGTAAACCAATACACGCCCCCCCGACATGTCCAAATGCCTCTGAAGGAGACCGGGGGTGCAGCCTGCCTACGTAGTCCCTCCACACACGTTGCCCATCGGCGGTGGGGAGTGCTGGGCTGGGGTTAGTACACCTCCTCGCCACTCTCAGGAGGCTTCAGTCAGGTGCCCCGCAGAGCCCTCTTGTCCTAAGGGGGCTCTAACCTCACCTCCTGACTGCTGTTCTTCCTCCCCATCCCCAACCCCCTCCTCCTGTTCTTCCTGCTTCTCCACCATTTCTTGAGCGTTGCCCAAGAGCAGGTACCATGCTAAGCATATTATTCCATCCCCAGCCTTTGTGACTAAGACAGCCCAGATCCTGAAATCCTGTCCACAGTTCGGTGGGAGGAGGGACCATCTTCTGCTTCGTTATCATCAACGTGTCCTTCTCACAACACATCAGGCAGGAAGTCCTTGGGCCAGTGCCTCTGTTCGCCGGGCCCAGAGTCCTCATCTGTGAAGGGGGCTGTGAAGGCGATCAGTTGGCGCTGCACGTGCAGTGGGGGCTCAGTACTGCCGAGGCAAGTTGGCTGCGGGAGGGGACTGGGTTTTCTCTGAAAAGAACAACTAAGATGCCAGGCAGGGCTAGCCCCTCAGGACTGCAGGGGGGGGGGCAGAGGACTCAGGCCCTGGCCGAGGTGGCATTTCAGAGAGACCCCAAGAGCCTTCTGGAACCTAAGAGTCTTCACTCCCCTCGGAAGTGTGCAGAATTGTGCCCACGGGCGTTCCTCGAAGTGCTGTTTGTAACAGAGAGAGCTGGGAATTACCTGTGTCCGATAACAAGGGTTGTTAAAAAGCTGTGTCCAGTGGAATAGTAGCCATTAAAAATCAACTGGCAGAACAGTATCTTCTGACTTAGGAAGGAGGGGTGATAAAATATTTAGTGAAACAAACAGAAGATAAAATGATACATACTCTAATAAGAAGCTCAGATGCTGATTTTGTTTCAAAACAGCAAAGTTGGAAGATGGGCAAAGTGCTCCCACCGGCTATTTCTGAGTGTGGTTTCACAGGTGATTGAAAATATTTTTCTTCTTTTGTGAGGATCCAAAGTGTTCTAAAATTAGCACGTAACATCAGTGATGGAAAAGAGAATCAATGCAAGAGAGGAGTCATGCTCCTTCGAGGGAGCTGCCTGTGGTCCCCCCCGCACCTCGGCACGCAGCTTAAGCACTCGCCAGGAGCTCGGCCAGCCTCGTGCGTTTGTGACCTATCTGTGGCAAAGGGCCGGCGCTCAGGAAGGCCCTGTGCCCAGAGGCGCCCATACTTAGCTTAATGCTATGTGGTCACCATATTGAAATTCTTAATCATTTTGAATAAGGGCCCCACGTTTTAATTCTGCACCGTGCTCTACGAATTATGCAGCCAGTCCTGGCAAAGAAACCCGAGGCCTCTGGATGCCTCGACTTTGCTCTCCAGTTTCCTGAGTGAGGCGGCCAGCCTTTTGTACAATGTTTGTTTAATTTCCCACTCAGTGACTCCTTCTCTTTGCCTCCTCCTTGCTACATAGGCTGTTGGCAAAAGTGGGAGACACGTGTCCATCCCTTCTTCTGGAGACTAAAAATAGCACCTCACCAATGTTTTTAGGACCTTCTTACCAGGTGTGTATTTTCCCCGGTAAAACCAGGTACCTTGGACCCAGAGCCACTGCCATAGGCCTGTCCTACATCTGGTCCTAACGGTAAAGTTCAGGGATACCTACAAGAAACACCACCAGAGAGGTGGTGAGCTGCTCACCTCTGGAGGCATTCAACAAAGACTGCATGGCCGCCAGCAGGAGCACTGTGCAGGAAACATCTTCTCTGGATGGGGAGTTAGCCCAGAGAACCTCACCCTGGTGTTAAAATTGCACAGGGCAGCCGGCAGCTTCTCAAATTACGGCCTGTGTCAGACCCACCTCTTGATCCCCAGTGCTCAGCACAGGGCTGTAGGCACAGGGAAGGAAGCTGAATATAGGGGAGACTAGGTCAGTCTCCCAGCGCCTCCACGCACCACAAGGCAGTGCTGGGGTTTGGGCGCAGGCCTGGCTTTCTGCAGCCGGCCCTTCTGGGCAGCTACAGACCCAGGTTTTCATACCTGGAGGTGGCTCTACCGCCTGAGACAGGAAGAAAGTTCAAGTTCAAGTTCGCCTTCTGCGTGCTTCCGCAGCTTTGCTGCACACCGAACTTTGTGGGCACAGCCTGAGTGGGCACGGAGCCTCCTCAGAGGATCTGGGGACGGCGCAATTCTGTTACCTGGTTTACAGGGAGATTTTAACTTCAAACCAGCTCAATTAAGCAGATCTGATCTGAAAGAGGCAAGCCAGCCCCCGTCGCCTAGAGCACTCAGCATGTGGAGGCCTGGACTTCCCTGAGATGTGGGGTAAATGGGGTGCAAACTGCCTCTCCTCCCTGTTCTCCAGATGTCTCATCAGAGATTGGGCTGGGGCTGGGGTCACTAGGATTCCTGCCTCCTTTTAACGCTAAGTAGCTCATGTGTTCAAGGGGTTGCAAAGTGGGGGGTCTGCAGGCTGGGTTCAGCCCATGATATTTTCAAATTCTGGACATCCCATGCACAAATATGGATTTCCTTCTCCTAAAGAGTCTGAAGCTCTGGAACCCTAGGCCTTTACCCTCTTGGCAGCGAACGGCAGGCCTGGGGTCTCTGTTCCGTCAGTCCCTGAAAATTCCCCACGGTGCCCCACGTGGCCTGCCTGAACCCTGCAGGCTGCCCATTCGAGGCCGCTGCTGGAATGTCCCGGGTACTGAGGGTGGTGACCTGCCCAATCCCCAGCTGGCCCAGGCCTTCTCACTCCTGCATGAGCGCTCTACCCACTGCCCCTGCAGCCTCTCACGGAGTACTTTGGGCTCCGGGAGCCCTGGGCATGGAGGTGAGGTTAGCGATGGTCTCTAGAAGGTTGGGGACCTGGCCACTGCCTAGAGCAAGGCCACGCACGCAGTCCCTGCTATGGCTGGGGAGCACTGAGTCAAACTCCAGGCCCAGACCCAGGGGAGAACTCTGAAATTTTCAAGGCTCTAATTCCCTACCCTGCAGGTGGCCCCCAGGGGTCAGGACACTCACAGGCCCGTCTGTCGCAAAGGGACAGGTGTGGAGGAATGGGCTGGAGGGGCTGCTGGACCTGCGCTTGTGGGCAAAGGCAAGGGGGTGGAGGAGACACCAGTGTCCCCCCCCTCCCCAGGGACAAGGTCCCACAGGGCCCAGACTCCCTCTCTTCCACAGGCCCTGACCACAGCTGCCATGTTGTGTACCCAGGACCCGCCACGGTGGCTTGGCACTTCGGCTACCCTGGCACAGCCTCCCCAGGCAGAGCGGATCGGGAGGTTGTGGCTGGGGGTCCTGCTCAGGACGGTCACCCAGGATGGGGGCAGGGCAGCTGCTCAGGCAAGTGGGGTGGATCAGGAGCAGTGTCCACCTGGACCCCCAGGACCCACTCCTGTTGCAGGGGCTGCCTCTCCCTGAAATGCTGGGGGTCCCTCTCCTTGGCAGGCCCTAATCTGAGTGTGGAGCCCCTGGGCAGGCCCCCGCCTGAGGAGTTAACACCTGAGAGGTGGAGTGGACTCCCCCCCCCCCGCCCTTCTTCCCTCAGCCAAAGGGGGAGCATGCAAGAACGCAGAGGAGAGAAGAAAGCCAGAGTGGTCTTCTTTCCCCTTTAAGAGCCCGGATGGCCGCCGCCCAGACCCAGCAGCCCCGGGGGAGGGAACATGTCGGGAAGGATTCCCTTCCGAACTTCCCGAGGCTTTGTTCGGGAGGAGGCCGGGGAGGGCACACTTCGTGGGGCGTTGGAGGGCCGTGGCTCAGCGGTGCCTCCTATGGCGGCCACGGCGGCGGCGCCCCCTCCGGGACGGAGACTCGGGCCCCGCTCCCCCCACCCCCCGGGCCCCTAGACCCACCCACGGCCGCGGACCCTGAACCCCTCGGCCGCAATCTCGGACCCCGCCGGCCGCGGAGCCCCTGGGGGGCGGGGGCAGGAGAGCGGGCGCGCTTACCAGGTCCTCCCGGGGAGCCCCCGCGGTCAAGTTCACGTCCGGCCCTTGGACTGTCCGAGGTCCCGGCGCGGCCAGGAGGAACGAGGCCGCGAAGGCGGCGCCCCGGGTCACCGCCGCGCCCGGCCTTTGGGGCGCCGTTGTCACCCCGGCCTTGCGACCCCAACTTTCCGCCTAGTCGGGGAGCTGGAAGTTTCCGGGCTTCGCGGGCGCTGGGCTCGGTTTCAGCAGCGACGTCTGAGCTTGGCAACAAAGAGGGAAAGCAGGCCCGGAGAGGGGAGGAAAGAAAGAAATACGGTGGAGAGGGGGCTGGCTACTTAGAAATCCCACAATCTGAAATTCCACCCAGAAGCTGTTTTGGGTTGTTTTTTCTTAAGGGGTAAACAAGCCCCCCTCAGCTCTGGAGGGGGCTCTGTACCCTTGCTCTGGTCCCGTTGCTTAGGCACCCTGCTCTGGCACCTGTGTGTTCTATAACCCACTCCAAAGTGCCTTGGGCAAATCTGGGGAGAGGCAAGCACATGGAGAGACAGGCCCACTATGCTTCCTGAAAGGGAGTGACACTGATTCTGGGTGCCCAGGACAGCAGCAGCCCCCTCCCCAGGCTCTGTCTCGTCTTGTCCCCTCAGCAAAGGGCTTGGGTCAGCCACTGTGGGCAGCCACCATGTGTTGCTGTCCTGAGAATGGAGGGACAGCTGGGACCCGTGGTGTCCAGGAGAGGACCTGGGAGAGGCCCACCTGCTCCCAGTCCACATCTGCAGCAGATGCAGGACCCTGTTCCTGCCCTTCAGGCCGAAGTTTCGTGTGCAAGGCCTTGACATGACCTGGAAGCTCTACCTGATTTTCGCAGGAGCTTCTTGGCTGCCTCCCTCCATTTTCTGCCCTCTTGCTCTGCATGGCTTGGAACCGTCCCAGGGCAGGGTCTTGGGGACATATCTGGACTGGGGTAAGCAGCCGAGTGGCCCCAGGCCTGGGAACCTGTGCACTGGCCAAGCCCACTCCCTTCGAGAGCCCTGTCAGCACTGGGACAGGAGCTGAGGGGCACAGAGCAGCCAGCTGCCTACCAGCCTTGGGATGCCCCTGCACCTGCCCCATTTACCCGTTGGTCTGTCCAGCCCTCCTTGCAAGACATGCTTATGGAGAAAATATTCTGTCCCAGGCCTGCTCCTCCAGAGTGGCTAAGAAAAACTGGAAGAAGTGGGGTGGAGTTTTTGTAAAGAAAAATGAGCAAGGGGGCTGTAGATAGCAGGGTGGGGGGGAGGAATATGTTGTCTGTGGTCCTGCGAAAGCGAATGGGGCCTCACCGGGCCGGAGCCTCTCTGTTAAGTGGGTATCTGCCCTTCAGATGACTTCTCCACCGTGCTCCTTGCTGTGGTTGGTCGTGCATTTCCACACACTGTTCATGGAAGGGGCTTCAGCCACCAGGGCACCCAGGGCTGCTGTCTATCCATCTGAAAACTGCCAGAACTTGACACGGGGCTGAGGATATAGGGGTGGTGGAAGTGGGCACACTGTGCGCGGGGCTGGCTGCAGTGGGATTGTGGAGCCGGTCTTCCAAGCTGCAGATCATCCTCAACTTACATACGTAGGCTGCCAATTTGTCCCCAGCACCCACAGTCCTCCTCTGGGGGTGAGGGGAAATCCACCTGCCCTGAAGCCCGAGATCCTTTCCCAAAGTAGGTGCAATGGAGTTTCTCATCGCGTCTTCACCGGAGCAAGCATGAGCACTGGCTTTTGGCTTTTCCTCATTTCTCTCCAAGACCTAGGCTGGCCAGCTACGCACACTCCAGCAAAGCCATGGAAATTCTATCAAGGCTCGGTGGGGGAGGGGGGCAGGAAGGTGTGACATTTCGCAAGAACATGCAGTAGGTGTCCTTTGCTCTACCTGAAAGCTCCTTGTGCAAGGGCCCAGCCCTTCCCTGTGGGGGGTGAGGGGGGGTTTTCTCCGGAGTCCTCCCTGATGACTCCTCTCCTCACTTTGTATTTCTAGGACTGGAAAATGTATCAGGAACTATGTATATTCCTGAAGCTCGAAGTCATTTGTCTGGTGCTCACTTTGTCCCCAGAGCAGATATCACTGTAACTCCACCGAAATCTGTCCAGACCTTGTCGGGGGCAGGCTTCAGGGGCCTGTGGCCGGGGCACCTGCTCTAGGCCCGATGCTCTGTAGTCCCCATCGTAAAATTCGGAATCCTTTTTGAACAAGGGGGCCCGAGCATCCTGGGCTCTGACGTGATGGAGCTGATCCTTAGTTTGGCTGCTTGTGGACAGTGTCATAAAGTAAACAAAATGAATACAGAAACAAAAACAAAACTAAATGACTTTTATATTTCTTTTACTAAATTCTGTTTGCAGAAATCATTCCCGATTCTATGTAAACAAGATAAAGATGTTCTCATCAAAGACCATTGTATTTAGGAAAAATGTTCACCTTGAAGAGGCAGGAAGCTATTAGGGAAAGAGTACAAATCTGAGAACCAGAATCATCCCTGTTCAGCCCCCAGCTCTGCCACAGGGCCTCGACTCCCTGGGCTGGTGGGGGACAGCTCCCACC